AGTTAGAAACATCGATGAGAGAGAAACATCGATCAGCTGCCTCCTGCACATCTCCTACTGGGGATGTGCCCGCAACCCAGGTACATGCCCTTGACCGGAATCGAACCTGGGACCTTTCAGTCCGCAGGCCGACGCTCTATCCACTGAGCCAAACCGGTTTCGGCGGTGCCTCTTGTTTAAAGACAACATGCGAGTGTAGGGCATGGACGTGTCCCTGTGGCCTCGTCTAGGTACTTTAGCTTCCTCGTTTCTGAGGCTCAGGAGGAATTCAGGCTGTCGCACCTGGGATCCGCCCGCACCCCGAGCCTCTCCCAGTCGCTCTGGTCAAACAGCATTTACATGAGTGAAGACACGGCATCATTGTTGTCTGATTGATGTGAAAGAAGGAGGTTATTTCAGAGTGACGTTAGGTGCAGTCTGAGCGTGCCTGACCTCACTTGCCAGGAGTTAAATTCCAGATGGAAAAGGCCCGGAGGTGACCCCTGTATCTCCCGCTGCAGAGCCGTGCCCCCCAGAAGCGGCCGCGTGTCTGCTGAACGGCTCCAAGCCTGTGAACCTGGGCAGGGTGCGGGACGGTCCCCAGCAGAAGGACGGTGTCACTGTCCTCAAGTACGTGGATGGCGACTTGTGTCCTGACAAGATTCGGAAAAAGTCGACCACCATCCGCTTCACCTGCAGCGAGAACCAAGTGGTAAGTGACTCGGCGTCCTCAGCCCTGGGCCGCGGCGCTGGGGCCAGCCAGGGTGGAGGTCGGGGAGACGGCGTCTGCCTTCCCTGGAGGTGTGAGTCTCAGGGCTCAGGTGGCAGGCGTGGCTGCGGGTGAGGCAGCATCACGCTGGCCCTGTGGTCCTGGGCACTTCTCCGGCTCCACACACGCCAGGCCTGGCCGCTCTGGCTTCACAGTTCATTGGGTTCAAGTTTCACTCAGATCCCCAGAGACTGTAGGGAACCGACACTTGGCAGCGCGCCCTGGGCTCGTGGCGGTCACCTGGGGGAGCGGAAGGTCGGCCGGAACTGGTCAAGGCAGCACCTCCCCTTCCCACCCAGGGACTTGGCTCCCTACTTAACCACACCGAGCTGCTCATCCTGTGCTGCCGGGAGCCCTGCGGCCTGTGGAGGGAAAGCGGCGCGTGTGGTGGACGGAGGTTGAGACGCGGAGCAGGCTTGGCGGTGTGTGGAGGGTGCAGGGAATTCACGGCGGCTCCTTCTGTCTTGTTCCTGATCACAGGCTCTAGTTCACTTGCTTTTTAGAACGTTATCCCTTGTTTGCTCGTGGGAGCAGCCCCCTGGGCATCATTGTCCGCCCCGATTCCCCCTCACCCTGTGGGGAACCTTCAGGCCCCGAGTGGGTCTCCCTCACCCAGTGTGTGCGAAGCCCCCAGTGTCTCAGGAGCAGAGCTGACTCTGCTCTTCCTAAATCGGTGTGTTCCTTAGTGGGGGACAGTCTCATG